GATTAGACTTCAAACTCATTATATGTATATAATGCACACGTGTTATCGAGTCAAGGTCATTATATCTAAATAATGGTTTTTTACTGCAAATTATATATAAATAACCATTGAGGCAGAGTGCCATTATATATAAATAATGACATCGTAGGAAGCCATGGTTTATAAATAATTCGTTATGCAAATTACGAAGTAATAAATATTCACAGTGCTCTTTAAGTTACAATTAGGGCCTATTGTGTGTGGTCTACAGGTTGCAGACCATCACCTATTGAAAATGACACAGCAAGGGATACATCAGATTATTGAATCCAGTGGTGGCGCCAGAAGCCCCACCCCCACTCCCCGTCGTGGAAGACGAGTAGATTTTGTCGTGGAATAAACGAATAAAAAAAAAAATTACATGTCATGTTCAGCGCTTCGTATCTGCAAAGAAAGGCGCTTTACAAATGTTCTCATTGGATTGGATGTTCGTTTAGCCAACATATTGTTTTCATTGAACTATTTTTGTCAACTTTTCATCACAATAATAATAATAATAATAATAATAATAATAATAATAATGATAATGATAATGATAATGATAATAAAAATAATAATAATAATAATAATAATAATAATAATAATAATAATAATAATAATAATAATACTACATCGCGATAGGGGAAGCAGCCTCGACCTTGACAGCGTGGTTGTTAGATTTCGTGCAAAAAAAATTGCATACTCTTTGTTTCTTGTTTTATTCAAAATGGTTTGGTTTTGGAAGCTCATTTCGACATTAAAAAACATAGCCTACATGAAGTCATATATAGTAGCTCGATGCCTATCAAATAAGTAATAAAAAATTGCCATAATCCGTCAAATATCCGTGGCTTGTAGGGGGTATAGCTCGCTGGACCGTAGGCGCCCCCCCCCGTCCCAGGCTCGATTTGCTCCACTAGCCCACACCCCCGTCGGGGCCTTCAGCCCCTCGGTCGGCTCCATCACTGATTGAATCTGCTGTGCTGCAAATCTAAAATCTATTAAGAGAACCCCAAAGTGAACCCCAGTATTATGCCTATCACCAGCGGCTGATCCGGATATTTCCCCGGACATTGCCCCGTACACGACATACTCAAATCGAGATTTCTGAGGGCCGCGGCGTTCACTTTGGGGTTCTCCTTATTGATTTGAGATTTGCAGTACAGCAGATTCAATAATCTACTGTATCCCTTGCTGTGCCATTTTCCAAGCATTATACACATATAATGGTTTTGCGACAACTATTATTTATATATAATGAAATGTAAAAGCAGCTATTTATATATAATGAATTTGAAGTCAATTCGTTATTTATATATAATGAAATCAGTGTACTTATATATAAATAATTGTAAGTTACTTTTCATTATTTATATATCATGATTTGTTACCTTTTCATTATTTATATATAATGGAATCAGTGAACTTATTAGCCTATATATAAATAATTGTAAGTTACTTTTCATTATTTATATATAATGTGTTACCCTTTCCTTAATTATATATAATGAAACCAGTAACCTTATTATATATAAATAATGTTTGGTTACCCTTTCATTATTTATATATAATGAAATCAGTAAACTAATGATATATAAATATTGAAAACGTTAACGCAATTATTTACATATAATCTTTTATATGTAAATGCATTAGATATAATGCTGCTGCTTGTTTTTTTCCATTCTTGGTCTGCCTGTTTTTGAAGGCTTAATTTATCAATTATATATTTATTTATTTATATTTATTTATTTTCTATTTGTTTATTTATTTACTTTATTCATTCATTTTTTTATATTTATTTAACTAATTATAAATTTAAAAATAAAAAAAAATATTCTGATTAATATAGGCTCATAAGATATAATATAATTTAATTTTTTATAATTCATGATCCTTTTTCGTCGTCTTGAGACGATTTTATTGTGGAAGGCGCACTACAAATATCCCACCATTACCATTACCATTAAATAATAGGTGATCTATTCAATTATATGTTAAATAATGAATTATATAAATAATTGTGTTAAATAATAAATTTACACTTGGCGCTTCATAGATTTAAGTGTACGGCGTACGCAGGTTGTGTGAATGGTACTGCTCTGAACCAGAGAGTCATCCATGATGTACCTCAAGATAGCATATTTTGGGCCCTATTATTCTTCTTTATTTTATTTGAATGATATTGCTTCATGTATAATTGATTCAGATGTTAATTATTGTCATATGCTGACGATGCTTCAATTCTATATTCCCATCGCGATGCCAACAAAATTGCTAAAAAACTAAGGAAATGTCCTTGCCAAGTGCCGAGACTGGTTAACCGAAAACAAATTATCTTTATACATCTTGGCAAAACAGAAAGTATTATCTTTGGAAGCAGAGCGAAGCTTAACAAAGATTTAACGGTGGAAATGGGTCATAGAATAAAAAACACCACAAAGGTTAAATACTTGGGTATAGATTTAGACCAATATGTCATGTGATATAATTGCAAAGTGTTTTCAGTAAAGTTAAGATGATCAGGTTAAGATTTTTACACAGACAAAGTCCGCGCTTGACTAAAAAATGTCGTAAACTGTTAGAACTGCTTTAATACAATGTATGTTTGACTATTCGGCATCAGCACGGTATGGTGGTGTTAATAAGACTCTTAAACATAAATTGCAAATAGCCTAAAATAAGATGGCACCCTTTATATTGAATGTAGGGCTGAGATTTCACATCCTCGCTAAAGAACTTTCTGATCTCGGATAACTTAACGTCGGCCTTAGAAACATGTTTTTAAGATTGAATCATGTTCTTAAATTGTTTACAATATGGTAATACTAATTCTTTTATGAAGGATAATTTTCTACAAATAGCGGACCTTTACAATAATAACAATATGATTAAACAGTTCAATTTTGTCACCCCTAAGGGCTACCAGAGTTAACAATTCGACTTTTTTTATTTCTTGGAGGCCGTGATTGGAACTATCTTCCCAATTCACTTAAATCCATTCAAAGTAACGCAACTTAGAGAATATTTAAATAATGAAAAACTTAGAAATTAGCAAATCAGTGTTTTATTATCATGTTTCTTGTTTTAGTTGTTGCCTTTCTGTTTGTTAATGGTCTGGACCCCATTAGAAACCAGCTTGCTGTAATGCAGAATTTTAATGGTTATCCTGATATTTCATGCTTTTTATAATAATTATTGTACTTGTATTTTATTATAATTGTTCTATGTGTGAAATATCAAATAAAGTCAATCAATCCATCTTTGTTTTCCACTGGGTCTGTCTTCATAATTTTTTATTTCTTTAATTTTTGCATATAGCAGATCCATTCCCCCTGCATTTTTGAAGTGTTCTGTGCACTGCATGGTTGTGTTCATACCACTTTCCTTTGCCTTTTCTGTTTCTCCTCTTAATTCATTATGTAACTGTTTTGCATTCATTCTGCCTACTTCTATCTGTATTTTTCCATTTCTTTCTCTCTTCCATTTTTTCAATCATTATTGCTCTTACCCATGTTATTAAGAATTTATACAAAGTTAGTAAATCAATAGAAAAAGAAGAAACAGACTGAAGGAAGAATAGGAAAGATACTCGGAGCGGCTCAAATTGGTATAAAATATTTCATAACAATGAACATCACTTATTATGTTTTACCATGGTGATTATTATGGTAAACTGGAGAAACAACACTGTTGCTTATCTGCTGATAAAGCAATTACTACAAAGAGATCAGACGCGATATCACAGACTATTGATGTTCGATCATTCCGACCGCCGATCATGCGCAGAACTAGTTTTTTGTGGGCGTCAACAGAACCTGGCTATTGGGGAAAAGACAGACAAAACTGTAGATCTTTTTACAGCATGCGCTGTATCTCAGTTTAAGCATTTCTTAGTAACGAAAACATTGGTATCAAGCGCAATTTACTGTTGAAAAAGTTATTGCAAACCGCATTTAAATCAGATTATTCAGTCAATTTCTATGTACGATCAAAGTATGTTTTATTGTTTCTAGAGAATATCCTTTGTTAAAAAACGATATTTATTGGGTTTCCTTTTCGTTCTCACAAATGGGACCTATCTTGTTCGACAGAATAGATATTGTTTTACATTAATATGTCGATGTGAACTGTGCCTAATTATGCCTATTTTTGTTATTTTCCTTCAAAATAGCATTAATTATGCTGATTTGCTGTAAATGATGTCACTAAATTTAATAATTTAATAACGACGGCGGACTATACTAGGCCTACCAGGTAAGGGGTAGTCCTAGCTCACTCGTACTAGTAGTAGTAGGCCCCTAATGATGGGATGGGGGTAAAGGAGAGAGGGTTGGTGTATTCTTTTATTATGAAGTTTAGTTATGTATGTCGATAGCTACCCCGGCCAGGCCTAATAAAATGATAATTTTAACTTTTTCATGTACATATGGAATGGTATATTATTTTTAAATCCAGTATTAATATAATCACCACAAACAAGCCTAATAAAATGATGATTTTAAATTCTTCATGTACTTTACATATGGAAGTGTATATCATTTTTTAATCCAGTATTAATATAATTATTTAATTCTTCGTTTGAAATAATAGAAACATTGGTATGCTGATTTGTGTTTCAGAGGTTCATCGTAGTGGTAACTATACAAATGCTCTTAGAAAGCAGAGCAACCAACACTATACTGTCTGATGATGAGCCGAAAGAAACTTCATGCAACGATCGAGGCAAATACAGTTTGGAACAGAATGCAAAAGTTTTGTTTCAAATATAGACTGAATGAAAAAAAAAAAGAATTTCAAAAAATTTATATATTTGGTCTCTTCAATTAATTTATTCGGCCACTATTAAATTTGCTTTCTTATTTTCTCCTTTTGGTTTTTTGTATTCTTTCCTTATGTACCATCCTGGTCTCATTGCATTCCTCTTTAAATTTAAAACCATATATAATTCATACAGTGATCTGTAATTTGTTTGTTTGCAGATGACAGAGACAAATTTCTACTGCAAGATGTATGTATCAAAGAATCAATGGCACTGTAAGTAAGTGAAATATAATAAAGTTACATTATGAAATTATAATTATTAGTCTGATCTTGTTCCTTCAACTTAAAAAATGATTTCTCTTAATTTTCTGTTTCTAATTATCCTTCATTATATTTTATTTTTGGCAGATGCAGAAAAGGAAAGTTCGCTGAAATTAATAGTTGGAACATCTTGAGTTGGAAAGAGTAATCCCGGTGAAAGAACAAAAATAATTATTGTATCAAGTCACTGGATTAAGACAACTTGCATCATTCTGATATATTGATGATATTGTACAGAAGATATGATCGAATTACGATAAGATGACGAGGCAGAACTATTATAATTCATTTTATAAAACATTTTAACTTTTAGTTAATTTAATTGATCACGCCTAATAGTTTGCAAGACAATTAAGAGAAGATATACTGGAGTTTAGTTGAACATCTTGCTGAATATTGAGACGGAATGGCAGTGAAAGAAAATATTACAGCGATAAGTTATTGCAGCATCAAGACAGCTTGCATCATTGTAAAATATTGAACTACAATTGATTTTTTCATATATTTTATGTACATTTAATATAAATTCATATTATATTATGATTTTGATTGTAAAGTTTTTATAATAAAAAATATAAGCAATGTGTTGATGTGTTTCTTTGCTGGTTGTGTCTGAAGACTGGATAAGCAGGCAAGACGAAAGAATTAAGCGCCCTCTAAAAGAAAAAGGACTAAGTTTTCCATATTCCTTCAATTTGTATTTAAGTGGTGCTGAAAAATGCCCTCTAATACAAAAAAAAAATTTCCAGGGTCTCTAATTTGTTTAAAGGGGTGCCCTGTGGTGCTGGAAAGCGCCCTCTATAGCCATTTTATTTCTATGTTTTTCGGGGTCTCTAATTGTCAATTTCTACAAGAATCGTAAAATGTGCCCTCTAATAGCCAGTTTTTCAGTGCCCCCCTGAAAAACTGACTCTAGAGGGTGCTTTTCTCTACTTTTGACAATTAAGAGACCCTAAAGAATTTAGGGTAAAAAGGCTATTTGAGGGCGCTTTTCTTCACTATTTTTACCAGAACTCCACAGACTAAAGTGGCCAAAAAACTTAGTCATATTTTGGGCCTTTTTCTATTAGAGGGCGCTTTTTTTTTTACTACCTGCCTATTGATGCTCCAAAAAGAAAAGAAGAAAAACGACTGAACATGAAGAATATTGCCAATATACAATGAATATTTATTTGGTAACAACTTTAAATACAATGAAGAGTATTTCCAATATTATTAAATGAATATTTATTTTAAATACCAAAATCGTACAATTATATAGAAAGCCAATCAGTTTCTGAAATAAAACAAGAAAGCAACATAGCCATGGAGCTGAGCAGGATGAGAACGTTGGTTTGCCAAGATCTTCAGAATTTTCACTGAAATAATAAAGTAAAAGTATTTTTGAAAAGGAATATATTTATAAGTCTGTTGCAGAGCAACAATAAAACACAAACGTCAATAAAAAGGAATACAGCAATTTAATAAGTCCATCGCAAAAAGCTGCATGAAATTAAGCAATTTGGCTACCTCCCCTCTTGACGCCACTGAATATATTCAGTAATGAGATTGATCTTCAGAATTTTCACTGAAATAATAAAGTGCAAGTATTTTTGAAAAGGAATACATTATAAGTCCATTGCAAAAAGAAAATGTTGAAAATTATTTGTCATTTGATAGATGACATTTAATGTAATTAATTTAAATTTGAAACTGAAATAGGTTACCAAATAAATATAAATGGTATCTAATACATAACAAAACTGATAAAAATATTACTGTATATATAAAAGTTTTCATTGGTAGAGGGAAATGTTTTTTAAAAATCTTATTTTAACGTAAATTATTGTTACGGATTAATTATGATCAGTTACACACTAATATTTTATTCATGTCTTGAATTAGGATTAATATAATTATTGTGATTAATATTTTTGATTGCCTAAATGAAGTGTTAAAATTACAACAGACCCTATCCCAGATGGTAGGTTCAGACCCTGGCATAGAAGTGGAGTTAAGATGCTTGCTTTCCAAAAAAGATGCTAAAAAATTAGAAGCCCATTTGAATTGACTCGTCTATGGATATATACCAGAATACACCAAAAAAAAAAGTGGGCAAAATTTTTATGGGATCAAAAGTCATTGACCCCAGCCTAAAATAATAATGCATGTACCATATATGGTTGATCTTGCACAGCACTATACAAACAATAAGAAAATAAAATAAAAAAACCCTCATAATGAATTCATGACCTTGAAAAAGGAGGTCCAAATGTCAAAAAATTGTTTTACTCACTAAAATGGCATAAATCATTTCGAAAATTAACTTATTGTATACATACTAGGATACACCAAAACAAACTTAGGGGGAAGGGGAAATTACTATTTTGGGGCTAGAAATATGTATCTTTGAACACTAATGATATATGGTTGATTTTGGTGTCAAAATTTTTATCACTAAAATGGCATATCATTATTTTTAAACTCATCTTTTTCAAAGCTGGAGTCAACAGTTGAGCGTAGTACAGCTTAAAACTTATATCGATCAAAAAAATTATCATAGTTGCCAAACTGAGAGATTTGAAATGCGTGACTACACCAGTTGGCCAGGAGGGAGGGTGGGGCCACCGGGGTCCAGAGACAGAGCCCTGGTGGGAGTCTAGGGGGCAAAGGTCCCTGGCGCTCCATCGATCTGAGCATTTAAATTTTAAGCTGTTGTAAATCAATTTCAGGAAGTTTTTGTTGAAAATACCGGGTACAGTAAATTTTTAAAAAAATGTTTTAATAAAGCCACATAGAATTTGAGTTTCAATGTATATATAGACCTAATTTGAGCACCCGAATTATGTACACAAACCATTTCATTACTTAAACAAACAAAAAATGAATAGGCATACTGATCAATTTTAGCAACGCGTTTAGTGAACAATTAAGTATCCACGTAGGGGCCTAATACTGTCAAATCAAGTTACTGTATGACTGTTTTTATATTTTTAATACAACCAATTTCTTCTAATTTTAAATTAGATTTTCCCCTGAATTTGTGATAATTCGTTATCACACATAGACCTGTGCTAAATGTGCATGTGTCTGCAAAATGCGTTTCAACCAAAATCGTTTTAAAATATGGGACCTACACGCAAGATGAGAGACAGTTGGTAACTATGAATTATAAAGCTGTACTATCAGTCATGAAGTAAAAAAAAAATTATTTCACATTTGAATTGCTTAATTTGTATATTTAAGCAAGTTTTAACTTCAGACTAAAAATTTGATTAATTTGAAGGAGAAAAAAATAATAAAATATATAATAACTTTCCTGTTCATTTACATAGATCCTTAAATTGGCTTATAATCAATTCAAGGATTTTTGTGTTAAAATTTATTAAAACTACTTTTTTTATCTGTTTCTCGTCGAAAGCTAATAATTTATTTGATCATTTTTATGAACTATTCACAATTTTATTTAAATTTTTGAGGTATTTTCCTGTCTTGACTGATGATAGTACATCTTTAACAAATAAGTATCTAAATTAGTCGGTTGACACCCCTGATTTGGAGATCTGTCCTGCAGTGGTCTCGACCACCCTATAGTCAATCTCAGATAGGCTTATCTTCATATGACTTTATATATGAAATTGACTGTACAAATAAAAATTTTAAATCAATGCAAAATGAAATGTTTAAATTATTAAATAATACAATTATTAATAGCCCTAAACTAATTGAAGAAATTGACACTATAATAAAGATTTGTTTATAATCAAATTTATACATTTCTATCACATAATAATAATATAACCGAATGCCAATCTGGTTTTAGAAATTCTTATTCTACTAACATGGCACTTATTGATGTTTCCGAACATTCTTAATAGTCTTAACAACGGTATATAGTCACTGCCACTATTTCCTTTGATTTAAAAAGGCTTTTGACACTGTTAACCATAAACTGTTAATAAACAAACTTGAAAAATATGGGATCAGAGGTTGAATACTAAATTGGTTTTCACCTTATCTTTCAGGAAGATCTCAGATTGTAAAAATATATTCAAAATGTTCAGATCCTACAAATATTACTATTGGTGTGCCCCAAGGATCAATTCTTGGGCCACTTCTATTTATTATATATGTAAATTCTTCACCTGAAATTATTACTCCAGATTCAAAGTGTGCAATATTTGCTAATGATACTAATATTCTTTGTTCTGCCTCTATTTCTACCGAATTACAAACTATCATTGATAAAAATGTTACTAATATTTCAAAATATTAATGTTAGTTAATGTTAAAAAAACCAAATTTATGTTGTTTGGTTCTAAATGCTATCTTCAAAATTTTCTAAATATTTCTTTGTCAATAGTTTGGTTGATAGAGTTGATAGTTTTAAGTATTTAGACATTACTTTTGATATTTTTTTCACCTGGAACATGCATATTAAAAATATGTGTTCAAAGATTTCCCAACGTATTGGAATTATTCGTAGATTAAGAAATTTAATTCCTAATTTTTCACTCAAACTCTTAGCTAATGCCATAGTACTGCCACTTTTTGATTATTGTAGTTCTGTATGGTCAAATTGTACAGTAGCCCATCTCAACTCATTCCAAGTATTATTAAATAGACTTGCCAGAATTATTTTTAATGCTGACACCTGTTAACAATCTTATGAAATCTCTAAATTGGAAGTATGTACTGTAAATCAACGATGGGAAGAGAATATACTTATTATGACCTTTAAATGTTTAACAGGCACAGTCCCTGAGTACTTAAATAGTTTTTATGAGCAAATGGACAATTATGACAAATGGAACAATGAATTTGGGAAAAAATATTCAGATACCACTTGGTTAAATCTGTGAATAATCTTCCCCCTAATACTTTTTATGAGCAAATGGACAATTATGACAGTCTCACCAAAAGAACCAAAATTAGTTTCAACTAAATGGAACAATGAATTTGGGAAAAAAATATTCAGATACCGCTTGGTTAAAACTGTGGAATAATCTTCCCCCTAATACTCGCAGTTCAATAAATTCCTTAACTTTGCATTCCTTCAAAAAATTGATTTAATAATACATTTTCATTTTGCTTTTTGTGTATACCAAATTTTCTTTTGTTTTTGTATATAATTTCTTAACTTTTATTTCTTATTTTAATGTTTTAACTATTAACTGGACCTTAAGGAAGAACAATGTATAAGTTTATTAAGTATCCAGAATAAAGAAAGATTTCTATCTATTTATCTATCTATCAAATGGCTAGGTACTTCTGAAATTAAAATACAAACTATGGATATCCTACCCAAACCGCATAAACTGAAAAACAAACCCTCACCTAAAACTGAAAGTGAGCTTAAAGGTAGGCCTATAATCAGAGCTTATAGCTGAATCACTACTCCTTTATCCAAAATTCCAGGTAGGCATATTAATGATTTAATCTCCAAAATAAGACTCATCTACGAACAATCTCATATCTTTTTTCCTATCAATAATTCTAATGGTTTCATTAACAGAATTCAGCAGTTAATATTTAAACCCACTGATACACAATTTTTTATTTCATGGGATTTAGAAAAATTATATACTAAAATCTTACAATAACTGATACTGCTAATTCTATAGTTACAGCTTATAGCTGAATCATTACTCCTTTATCCAAAATTCCAGGTAGGCATATTAATGATTTAATCTCCAAAATAAGACTCATTACGAACAATCTAATATCATTTTTCCTATCAATAATTCTAATGGTTTCATTAATAGAATTTGGCAGTTAATATTTAAATCCACTGATACACAATTTTTTATTTCATGGGATTTAGAAAATTTATATACTAAAATCTTACAATATAACTGATACTTCTAATTCTATAATTTATAGCTGAATCATTACTCCTTTATCCAAAATTCTGGGTACGCATACTAATGATTTAATCTCTAAAATAAGACTCATCTACGAACAATCTCATATCATTTTTCCTATCAATAATTCTAATGGTTTCATTAACAGAATTTGGCAGTTAATATTTAAACCCACTGATACACAATTTTTTATTTCATGGGATTTTAAAAATTTATCTACTAAAATCTTACAATATCTGATACTTCTAATTCTATTTCACAAGCCTGTAAATTACTACAAATTAATGGGGAATTAGAAGCTTATCTACTGAATTAAATTTATTAATTAATAATCATGCATATATTAATGTAGAAAATCAAACATTTAAACAAGTTCAAGGGATTCAAATTGGATCGTATCATAGCGCACAGATCGCTAACTTGACTTTGTTACTTAGAGAATTTGAGTTTCTTAAAAATTTATACAAATCCTTTGAACTTAATTCTAATTTTCTATTCACAAGATATTTAGACGATGATGCACTAACTATAATCAATCCTATTATCAAATCTTCTAAGCTGATACAATCCATTATTAATATTTATCCCCATAATATACCACTAAACTATACTTTCAACCCCACAAATATGATATATTTAGACACTCACATATCCATAAACTATTCAACTTTAACTAATTACAAAATACATGACAATATTTATCAGAAACCACTCCAAAAATATACGTACATACATAAAAGCTCGAACCACGGTCCTTCGACATTCAAAGGAATAATTAAAACTGAATGTAACCATTGTAATAGACTTTTCTGCAACACCAAAGAATACTCCCATATAACAAGATTGTTTAAGCTTCGACTTAAAATTAAACTCTACTATACTGTTATATACACTGTTGAACTTCTTTATGGTAAGATATATTTATTTTTCATTTAACTTTTATTTTTATAATTACTGTACTAACTTCATAAACTTCACTAACAAACCTTTTTCACATAAATTAATTTCGGAAATTACGTAAGGTCAAGTGTTCGATGTCAAATGTATGAAACGTGTAGGCTGCCGGCACCTTGACCTCTGACGATTAGTGCCAACAAATTTTCACAAAAACGTGATGCAATGACAAAATAATTATTATTTATTTTCAATAAATATTTCAGCCACTTATTGACGCAGTTAGTTTGATCTGATCTGATCGAAAAACTATTAAGAGAAATATTTAATTTTTTACTGACAACTATCAAAATTTATCAACTAAAGAATACATGAACTCCCATAAAAAAATTATTTAATACTGTAATTATGAAAGAGAAAAAAATATTAATATCTAAACATTTTTAAGTTCGAGCCAAGCTCTTTTTTAAAGATCCATGCTGTCAATTTTTTTAAACTAAAATGTTGGGGCACCTCGTACCGGAGGACCTGACACTCCGTCCCCTCCCCCGTCAGCGCCTGACCGTGACGCCACTGGACTGAAGATGCTCACATGTAGTGTTGCTCCAGATAGACTTCTTAAAGGAATTTGCATTTTAACACAAAAATCCTTAAAATTAATTTGATTACTAGCCAATTTAAGGATATATGCAAATAAATACAGGAAAGTTATTACTTAGCTTTCCGAAAATTGAGGGAGAATTTTTTTTTTTTTCATTCAATTTTTTAATTCGAAGTTAATAACTTGCTTAAATATACAAATTAACAATTCAAATATGAAATTAGTTTTTTCATATATTTTTTACTTTATGCCCTGATAATACAGCTTTGACAATTTGTTTTCAACCTTTTTAAGCTGGTGGCCAGTTCGAATCTGTTGAAACCAGCGGCAGGCCAACATAATGGTGTACTTCCACATTTTACAGCCCCTCCTTCCTAATACATGCCTATTATAATATAGCCTTTGTTTTTCAACATTAACTTGTAAAAATGAGGGAACGCAGTAGCATATAAGAGTGGAGGATGAAAACAAAAACCTTGCATCTCAAGGAGTTCCAAAAATCCACACAGGTACTAAGTACGCCAGAAATTCCAAGTTGAATATACCTGTACCACGAAAATGACCACAATTACATCACCCCCACCATAGTTGGGGCTGAGGAGAGCAACTTTTAACAACAGACACCTCTAGATACCCAGAAACGGCACTCTCATACTGTAAAAAGCATTTTTTTAAACAGAATGACATACCCCTGAGCGTGCTCCCTGGATGCACCATGCACCGCCAATAGTTAGAAAATGCACCATATCAGTGCCTTGCCTTATCTTAATCAGTCTCCCTCTGCCCATGTCAATACTTTGAGCCACTGATACAGCGAGCTACACTAAGAAAAAGCTAGACTGAGATACCAGAGTAGGTGGTCATGTTTCTATTAACAAAATAACTTTCTACATTGAAAATCGTGGGCCAGAAAAATGATTTATTGTCTATGTAGCAAATGTTATACAGGCCAAATTTTTGGTTGATCTATAGTTAAGTCAGTTTCTGAGCTGTAATTTTCTAATCAATATACCTATCTATACTCTACGTTCAACTGATCAGTCCGGCTTTAAAAAAGTTTAAAAAGAAATTATATATGCCATTTTAGTGCTAACAATTTTTAACATTTTGACTTTGACCTCATTTTTTTTTCGAGGTAATGAATTGATTATGAGGGTCCTTTTATATTATTTTCTTGGTTTTTGTATTATTCCTGATATATATTATTTTAGTTTTTTAGGCTGGGTCAATGACCTTTAACTCCAAAAAAGGTAATTTCTCCAACCTCCCCATTCCCCTAACTTACGCCATTTCAGTAAAACAATTGTTGACATTTTGACCTAATTTTTCAATGTTATTAATTGATTATGAGGGGTTTTTTTAAATTTTATTTTCTTATTGTTTGTATAATTCTGTGCATTTTGACATCAACATCAACCATATACCATAGAGTGTTCCTGTGATACATGTATTTTAATACATATATCACGGGAACACTCTATGGTATATGGTATATTAAAATATTTTAGGCCAGGGTAAATGACCTTTGACCCCTCAATAAAATGTTCCCCACCCCCTAGCCAACGTAACTTTTTTTAGAGTATCCTGGTGTATATATCCCAAAACAAATCAGTTGAAATCAGCTTCTTTCTAATTTGTTGACAGATTGGCACTAATTTTGATTAAAACTCTTTTTATACAAATATTTATATTATTCAAATTATACAATTTACTACTTAATATTCTTACAAGGTGTTTTTTATTATAAAATAAATAGGTATATATATCAAATATTTATTTCTAACTTATTATTTTATCAGAATATGTTTTTCTTACAAAATTATAATAGTCATTTGGAATTTAATACTTTAGAAAATCACTTTATATAGTTTTGTTCATTGTTTTGTCATATTAATGACATAACTAAAATAATTTTATTATTTTGATCTCTCCAACTGTATTACCCTGTAAAAAATATTAATTTTCAATTAAAACCTTATTTTATGAAAACTTTTAAAATTTATTTTAATGTATTTTAAATTAATCAATACTTTAATATATTTTATATTAATTAATAATTAGTATTTTTAATTTAACAAAATATGACAGTTTTTGTGTTGTAATATTGAAATTAAAATGTTTATTCTTAGTGCTGAACCAGGTCAAACGTTATCCCACAAAGCATTTTACAATGGACATGAAATTCATAATGACTCACCATTCAGCAAAAACGGGCACAAAACGAGAAAGCAACATTATAGCCACTGGTCCCCTGGTCTACTGGTTTGCTGAGATCTTCAGAAGTGTATTTTCCAATGGTTAGATTTTTCACAATTTTGACTGAAATAAAATACATTCATTTAAAAGAAAAACACCAGAATTAAAAGGAATGCAACATTAATATTTAAATGTTTATTAATTTTGATTACAAACATTAAATATAAATTGTAATTCTAGAATAATAATTGTCTATAGCCAATAAAAACATTATTTTATGACTATACTTATTATCACTTCTTAAATTTCAAAAATATGTCAAATAATGAAATTTTAATGTTAATCATTAATGTAATTATTTTAAGAACAAGAATTATATAAATGTAATTTATATTAATAAATATTTATACAAACATAATAACATAATGCAAAATTCTGAATAGTATTGCTTGTATATTATCTCCTTACATTTTAGATGTATCGACAGTGTAATTAAAATATTTGGTGTGGCCAGCCATACCATGGACTTTTTTCTTGCCCATATTCCCGACTGTAAAATAAGGCCTGCCTGGGTTTTTCATTTTATTTTCTTATTGTTTGTTTAATTTTGTGCATTTTGACACTAAGATCAACCATTTACCCCCTTTCCGCAACCTTTTTAGCCCACAACCCAAATTATCATATCAAGCCAATATATCACGTCCGTCGATTTATACGCGGGAGGGATAGCGGGTATAGCTACTATCTTGGCCGCAGTCTCTGAGCACCCATTTGTCTGTTGGCAGGGCAAATGTGAAACCTGCTCCTTTGTTCACGTCACCTAGGTAGAGGTCTGGGATTTGCTAGAGTAGAGGCGGATGGTTGACTTTAAGAGACCGTGCACTGCTTGCCACCAAACCTTATTACTGCTATATTTATTATTATCATTTTTTATTATATCCTTTTTAGTTGTTATTAAGCGCATAGAGGCAGTCCTTGCCATATACGCTATATAAATAGCAATTTGTTATTATTATTATTATATCAGAGGAACCACCCACTTGATTCTTTTGGCAGTCAATTAAAAGATACTATCACCCACAACATCAATTTAAGAGGCCTAAGAATGGCAACATAACTTTTAATTATTTATTTAACCAAAACACACAAGTTATCAAATTTTTTAATAAGTTCAAGATTCTTTTAAAATTAATGATTTACAAACATTTTATTATAAATTCCTTTACTTGCTGCCAGATAGTTATGGGTTACGCGAAGACATAAACACATTAAATTGAAAAATGTTTTCTTTGTTTTCATTGAAATTAACAAAACTAACACTTTCAAGTTGTCATACCTGAAGTACAAATGTTCTGATAGTATATCAGGGTAAATGACCTTTGACCCCTCATTTAAAATGTTCCCCAACCCCAAGCCCACCTAATTTTTTTGGTGTATATATCCCTACACAAATCAGTTCTTTCTAATTTGTTCACAGATTGGCCATAAATGAAATAATTTTATTATTTTGATCTCTCCAACCTAATTTCAGTTAAAACGCTCTTTATACAAATATTTATATTATTCAAATTATATTCTTATTATTTTATCAGAATGTTTTTCTTACAAAATTATAATGGTCATTTGGAAATTATTACTTTAGAAAATCACTTTACATATTTTTGTTCATTGTTTTGTCATATTAATGACTGTAATAAACTGTTAAAGGCATTAATTTTTAAATAAAACCTTATCTTATAAAAACTTTTAAAATTTATTTTAATGTATTTTATATTAATTAATTTTTTAATGTATTTTAAATTAATTAATATTTTAATGTATTTTAAATTTAATTAATAATTAATATTTTTAATCAGGGAATATGACAGTTTTTGTGTTGTAATATTGAAATTAAAATGTTTATTCTTAGTGCTGAACCAGGTCAAACGTTATCCCACAAAGCATTTTACAATGGACATGAAATTCATAATGACTCACCATTCAGCAAAAACTGGCACAAAATGAGAAAGCAACATTATAGCCACTGGTTTGCTGAGATCTTCAGATGCGCATTTCCCAATGGTTAGATTTTACAGAATTTTTACTGAAATAAAATACATACATTCATTAAAAAAAAAACCCCAGAAATAGAAGGAATACAACATTGATATTTAAATGTTTATTAATTTTGATTACAAACATTAAATGTAAATTGTAATTCTATAATAGTAATTGTCTATAACCAATAAAAATATTATTTTTTACTATACTTATTATCACTTCTTAAATTTCAACATTAGCGCACAACCACCACAGTCTGTAGAGGTACACATCT